CAAAGTAAGTGATTCATATGGATTCATTCTGTTGTTTCTGTTTTGTCATTCGTTTCTTTAACAGTTTTGCCTAAGCTCTGTTTCTAAAACTGCTCATGATAGAAGGAGGTTGGGGCATTGAACAGTGGTCAGTTTGAAGCAGCTTCAGCGTGATTCTGACGTATCGGTTAATTTTATAGTTCTGTTGTGATGCCATCAGAAGCTGTTCAAGTGGTGATTGTCGACTATGAATAATGTTGAGCGTCCTGTCGTTTTATACATCCTATGCAGATTTTGAAAGTCTGAAAATAAGCGTTTTTCGTACTCAATTTTGAGGTTTCTGGCAGTTGTAAAATCGACAATATAGATTAGATAAAGAGTGCATCTTGCTATCGTCAGTTACGATGAGTGTCTGTTATATGGGTTCATCGAAGCACATTATCGTTTAGCTCCTTTCATAGGGTACACGCCTGGTCGTTCATGATGTGTCCATACGATTTCGAGGGAAGGAAAAAGAAGGATATTTTGTTATCGTTGAACTGTTTGTCTTCTTTACACTTTCACGAAAGTAGATGCCATTCCGGCAGCCATCTTTTCATTAAGTTGATGGTGCGTTGCTGATTATCATGCTATTAGCGAGAAGTGCCTATTTTAAAGCAGAGTCGATTACCTATATGTGGCAAGCATATAGGGGTATTCTTCTGTTTTCTTTCCACAAAGTGATATTCATTAATCAGCCTGAAAAGGTGGAAAGGCGAATGGACCCTACTAGTGACCTTATTTTCAAGGGCCAACATCAAGCTGCATCTTGGTCATTTCTTTGTTTTTCTTCTGACTTTCCCATGTCTTCAGTGAGATATTGATTGATTCGAACATCCAGTCTCTGTTGTATTTTGAAGGACGTGCCTGCGGCTGCATATTTCGAAAGTACGGCTTGAATGCCATCCACTGTTTAGCTTTAAGCAAATTATATCGGCATCGTTCACATTGCGGATCCATGCTGCAGATCTCCCCTCTCCATATGCGAGGAAGGTATTTACCTCGAACGAATGAAACTTTGCTCAGTTCACTGTCCGATCCATCAGCAATGGTATCACATTTATATTACTTGTGATTGCCAGTTACGGTCAAAATAATATTTCCGTAGCAAGGAGGTCTGTCCCCGATTCGAACTGCTTTTTCGATTTGAGGAGTTTTCGAATGCATGTGCTATTTACACAGTTACCTGTGGCACCTGTTGAAGAGCTGTTGGGTAATGGCGTTGAAAAATGTTTAGATGAGATGTTGAGACAAGCCCCCCCTTCATTTGAGTTCTGATTGCGCGTTCCATGAAACGGGTAGCTTAGGCAGCTGTCGGACTTTAAAGATTCAGCTCCACTGTGATTTCTTCTGTTCGTTCGACAGACTGAATGAAACCAACACTTCTACGAAATCCTCACATTCCAATAAGAACGATTGAAGATACAGCATAGTCACTGTAACTCTGAACGGATCTAATTTTCAAACGGTTCTGCTTTTGTTGATCTCTGAATTTGAGGATTTTCCTCATTTGCCATTTCAACCCACCATTCACTGTACGGCATACATAATCACATTCGTTTCTGATAAGTGAAATTAAAACCCTATTTTTCCTATTCGACTCTCCATCTGTTTTCTTGTTTATATTCAATTTCCTGTGTATTCGTGGAGCTTCGATGTGCACTTTCTCACGTGCTAACTTTTTAGATCACGAAGATGTCCAATGGTGTTATGAAAACTTTATCAGCTATCGATCGATGAAAAACGCGGATAACGTTCGACAACAGCTCTCTCGCATAATGGACCGTTTTAACCTGAAGCGAACGAGTACCGAGTTCACGAGTAAAGATTACTACATGAATATAAGAAAAGCCCTCGTTTCTGGCTTTTTCATGCAAGTAGGTCAAATGATAATTATGTGACTAGATATTCATTCTTTGTGTATATTTTGTGATATTCATTATGACTTCAGAAGAGGCATGCCAAAATTCTTGTTAAGTCAGTTTTGAGGACCTTGATTGTGATTTGTTTCATTTCTTTTGCATTTGCCTATGGTCAGAAGCCTGTCAGATAGGGAACACTTGAAGCAGTGAATTGTTCTTCAAGAAAATATTTTATACATCCATATTTTTAGTTAATTTCGTTTATTAAGCCATCTTTAAGATTCATTCAAATTTCAGATTGCCCACCTTGAAAGAGCTGGCCATTACCTGACTGTTAAAGATAACCAAGTTGTTCAGCTGCATCCGAGTACGGTGCTGGACCACAAACCGGAGTGGGTGGTGTACAATGAATTCGTGCTGACCACAAAGAACTATATCCGGACCGTTACGGATGTAAAACCCGAATGGTCGGTTACCATCAGAAATGATCGAGTACCTAATGATGGCGTTTAATCTTACGTACAATTTTAGGCTTCTGAAAATTGCACCGCAGTACTACGACTTGAGTAACTTTCCGGTTTGCGAGGCGAAACGCCAGTTGGAACAGATCGCCATTCGAATCGAGTCAAAAAAGTACAAAGAGGGATTTTGATAACTAATCGGTTGTTCTATTGCTTTTATTGTTATATTTGTTAATAAAAGTAATTTTGTTTATTTTTCACAGCGTGAACTAAGTTTCGTTTTATACTTAA